TGCACTCCTTGATTCCACTAGTTCCAGACATTTACAGCTACGCCGCGCCATGCCACGCAAGCAGCATGAAGTCATATCAATTCTCTTCGAATATCATTAATAAAAAGGAAGTTTCATTCGAGCAGCTTCTTCAAAAGAGCTTCTGCTTTGTCGAACATAATCCCGTGGGGTTGCTTTCCGGATTCTAATGTATCCTCATTATCTGCACAACTTAACTCCTCTCATTCAGTAACCTCTCTGCATTTAGTGGTTCTATCCCGTGCAGCTGCGTAAAGAAATATAAAGGGGAGACAGGCCGCCCCCTTAAGGTAAGACTTCACGAACCCCATAAAGCTATAACACAAGGGGAGTGGAAATATCAGACGTGACTGACCACATATGGAGAGAAAAAGGAGATAACCGCTCTTTGTTGGATCAGGTTGAGATCATAGACAAAGAACACCATTAGAAAATTCGTAAACTTTAGGAATCAGCACATATGCTAGGCCACAAAAATCTCCTGATCCGATCAAGCATAGAAATGAATACAATATGGGAACCAGTAATAAGGAGTGCCATAGAAAAGCGATAATAACAACAAAAATTGCAATATGAGCTCTGGTAAAAATATGTAATGATAACAGCAAAAATTGCAATATGAGCACTGGTAAAAAATAGTTGCTGACGACATTAGGTTTATAACACCCAGAAATTCATACACAGATGTCCCCAAGAACAAAGTGGATAAAGGCGTTAGCTAGTGACAGGACACAAAGAGTGTGAGTTCAATACCCGGTTAAGGCAGTGGAGAACTTGGAGAGGGGAATTAACAGGAGATAACTGACAAGTGACATCCATTAAAGATGGCACGTGGAACTAGATCAGTGAGCGAAATAAAGGGTTCAGTTCGACATTCTAACCACCTGAAGAAGGCCGGAGCGTACAACGGCTGAAACACTGTAATAAATATGGCGATAAAGATGAGGACAACATCTCTCACTAAATCATCTGCAACCCAAAGTCATTGCGACTTTGGTATAGTGAAATTTACCCCCAAACATTAGAGCGGTTTATTGTCCCTTAGATATTTGATAAGGCAGTCTAAAAAATAAGCCATGTGCATTTGGTTAGGGATGGAAACCCAAGCCAGCATATGTACGAAACGGTTGCTGTAAAATGAGAACTCATCGACAATGCATTATCTGCCCTAACACAGAAAACATGTGGCTGAACTTAAAGTAAGCAAACAAGCAAATTACGGAAAAATGAGGCGTCACTGACATACCATCCTGCAGAATTTGTTTACCGACTCAAAATACTGACATAAACATTTTGTAGTATATGTGTCGCTCTCTATCACTTTTTAAAAAAATTGTTTTTCTTTTATTCTCAGAAGAAACTTTTGTGACTAATGTTCTTGTATGATTTTCTTACATGAATATACGTATATACTAAATTTACGATAGTTTGAAACAAGGCCATTAACAGTGATCACTCAATGAGAACGAATATACTTTAGATTATTTCTCACGTTTCTTTCTCGACTCATATTCTTCTTTTACTAAATGTTGTAAAAAGGACCGGTGCTAGGGTCTTGTGCCCAATAATGGCATCCTAAATTTCCAAGAACTTCCCACTCCAGGCACCACCACTCTACTCCATAACGATTGTATTTTTTTTAAACGTTTCACCCCAAGCAAAGCAGGACGACACTAGCACGCAAGGGGTTACAGAGAGTTGGAGTGAGAGCAAATAGGAGTCATAGAGGAAAGGATGAAGAGAAGGATAGGGGATAGATCAGGGCATCTGAAGACGTCGATTGACATTATATTTGAATAGTTGGAGATTATAGCTATCAGGGAAACAGGAAGAGGGGAAGGAGTTCCACAGGCAAGAGGTGCGAGACATGAAGATATTGGAGTAGTAGAGATGGCTACATTTAACAGTTTTGATAGTGAAAGGGTGCGAGCAAGATGCCAGCTTAATAGAACGTTTAAATTCATGAAGTCTGGGAACCAGCGAAAGCAGCTCCTCGGAGCAGTTACCATGAAGGTATTTGTAAAAAAGACAGAGTGAAGCGACGGCACGTCTGTGAGAGAGCGACTGCAGACGAGATGCCAGATCAGGGCCAATTACTTTGCATATCCGTCTCTGGATCTAAAATACAAATGTTAGTGTAACTTATAAAATACAAATGTTAGTGTAACTTAATTATGTACAATAATGAATCATATGCAATATAAGTGAACAATTCAAAATTGAAAATAAATGCAATGTATCTAAATACAAATTAGAGGCATGTCTTAATAGATCGTTTATCTTAAATAAATCAACAATGTTTTGCGGCAATTTTTTACATCACCTTGAGATTTTTCTTATTAAAATGTTGAATAATTTTAACAAATTCAACATTATGGATTAAAAAATAATGAATTTTAGATAATGTTTTTTTTTGCGACTTAGCATGAATGCATTCACGGATTTGAACGAAAGAAAAAAAAAAGACCCTAGAATGACGTCAAAATCCGCGAAAATTCTTTGTCCTTTAATAGAGAGTGAGTTGTACTTAGTTTAATTTATAAAGTGTATAAATATAGTTAGAAAAAAGTAAATGTTGATAAGATAGCGAGAGTCACAAAGCACTGCCCGGGGCCCCAAATCGGGGATTCGGGGTAAGTATACGCACCGTCCCGTGTTGTAATTAACATTAAGTGCTTACATAATATTTCATTGTTCTTATTATAAATCTTTATCAAACAGGTTTCAGAAAAATCTGAAAATATCCATAATTACACAATGCCTTTATCCACTGTGCACAGTGGATAAAGGCGTTGGTTAGATCCAGTGACAGGACCCAAAGAGTGTGAGTTCAATACCAGGTTAAGGCAGTGGAGAACTTTCAAAGGGAAATTAACAGGAGATAACTGATAACTGACATCCATTAAAGATGGCACGTGGAACTAGAACAGTCTACCCCAGTGAGCGGAATAAAGGGTTCGACATTCCAATCACCTGAAAAAGGCCGGAGCGTACAACGGCTAAAACGTTGTAATAAGTATGGCGATAAAGATGAGGACAAGAGTCCGAATAATGTAAACGGTACAGAGTTGAAGATGTCTATTGATGTTGCATTTACATTTTTGAAATATGGTGTTAACAGGGAAGCAAGAAATCGGAAGGGATTTGTGAAAAAATGAACTCTTTGAAAATACGTTGCAGTTGCATCTAGTTACTTCAGCAGTAAAACCGTGGGATCTATTTGCTAATCTTGTAGCACGCTTAAATCAATGTAATCGGAGCACCAGTGAAAAAAGCTCATTAGTGCAGTTGTCATGAAAATATTTGTAGAAAAGACAGAGGGAAACCACGTCACGTCAGTAAGAAAGTGACCGAAGTTGAGGTGCTTGGTGTTGATCTACTACATTACAGACACTTTTTTGGATTTTGCCAAGAATCTCGAGACGTACAGCAGAAGCACCGGGCCAGATATGGCAACAATATTCAATGCGCAAACGAATGGTAAATTTATAAATATGCAAAATAGATTCTACGTTGATTCCAATCTAATAAATAATGACTGCAAAAACGTCTCCTCCCCAAATTTATAGACAAATCCTGTAGAATGGATGACTTCTCGGCCGCATCCGCAATATTTGTGTTCTTTTTTTTCTGGAAGTCAGAGTGCTACAATCATTAGATTGTATCCCTTTTGCCTGTTAAATCGATTCTTTTTTTTGTGAATTTTTTGCCTCATGACTGTTTTTTCGTATTAATTTACCTTCTTTCTTTTTATTGTTTATTGGGAACTTTGTAAGTTTCGTTTTTTGGGCGTTTTTGCCAATTACACGTAACCTTGGTCAGTGACTACAGACAGTAGATAGATATAAAAGAATCCTGAGGATGTTCCCCAAGGTTAATATATAGGATGGCCATTCTGAAAATAATTCCTGCTATATTCTTATGTTTGTCCTTCAAAGTCAGAAATGGATGGTGCTGATATGTGACTTTAAGAAAAAAAAATTCAACGGGTGATATTCATCGAAGCTTGCTAAACGCTTATGGAGACCAAACAGTGTATGTGAGCACCGTTGGTGAGAAATGCGTTCTGGAAAGCCCTGCGCAACTATCAACCCATCAAATGAAAACCGCCTCGATCATCGATAAGCTCAAACGCGCCTGTTGGCGGATTACGGTTAAGAAATTGTGTACGGAACTGATGTTGGCTTCAATGCGTTACATACGATTTTGGCAACGTTAAGCTATCGCAAGGTTTGTACAAGGTAGGTCCAACCCATATTTATGCAAGGAGAGATATCCCACTGATTACAAGTTTATCAGAACTTGCTGAAAACGACGAGGCTTAAGCTGAAAGCGCATCATTACTAGTGATGAGATTTGCGAACATGAGTAAGAGCAGTTCATGAAGTGACGACATTCGACATCAAAGAAAAAAGCTCAAAACACAGCCATCAGCTGCCAAAGGGATATTCCTTGTCTCTTGAAATAGGAAAGTATTACATCTCCTAGATTTCCTGGAACCCGGATAAACCCTCAATAACAACATTACATCATGGCTCTAAGATGGATGCCTGGATTTCCAGATTCAGAAGAAGACAACTTCTTAATTGTGACGAACTGATGTCGAGACCCATATCAATTTGAATAATATGGACAGCATAGAAAGTTTTGCTTGGATTGTCCAACAAAACCCAATATATAGTCTAGATTTAGTGCCATTCAATGTTCTGATCAATGAACAACTGAACTAAAAACATGTTCCTGATATCGCGACTGTAAACAAATGGGTGCCTCCGCTGATGCGGGCATTTAATAGCCTGCCATATCGACTCTTGTTCATCGCTGGCATTGGTGATAACTATATGTAAAAATAGCGTTTTGTCTCTGATAAGTTTCTCTATCCAACGGTATTATGGCATATTTTCCACCTCTGCAGCCGTTTTAACATAGACATAATGTCGCAAACCTGTTGCCACTCTGTGGGTCCTTCCATGGTAAATGGC